AGGAGTAGAAAGCCTTGTCCTCCTTTTGTGGAGAGCAGCTGGTGGTTTTGAACTAATGACCTTGCAATTGGCAGTCCAATGAGCACCCACAATGTCATCAGGGCTGGGTCAGCCTTCTCAGAGAGGTGACCAGTAGCCAGAAGAAGAACGGGCCAGTAAGGGCCCTGCTGGGAGTAGGAAGGTCATAGGTCCCACATGCATGGGTACAATGGTCAGCAGCTCAGCTCACTGCTGTCCTTCCTCCCAACTCCCCCCTAGTAACCTCCAATTCAACCCCGGCTGACACTGAAGGACTGGGCCCCGCTGAGCCCCACAGGCGCCAGCAGATAAAGCACTTGGCTTCCAAGTTGTCCAGGTTTGAAGGCAGAGGGCTGGGAGACTGGCCCGTGTGGCACTTACACGAGACTCGCTACAGTGAGAGTCCTGCAGGGCCAGCATGAGGGGCAGGGACTGGGTACGCCAGGGAGGCTTTGAAGGGAGGCTAGAACCTGACAGACAGGGGTCGGGGCTGAGAAGAGGAAGGTGCAAAGCCTAGGCAGTGAGAACGCAACACGGGAGGCAGCGAAGACCAACAGGATTCCATTCAAGTTCAACTTCCGTTCAAGCGGAGTGCGTCTGGAGGCACGCCAATCAACGGGCAGTAGCTGCCTAACAAAGTAGCTCTGCAGAGGGTCTTCATCTGTTCCTGGTGTCTGCCGGTCACCCGCGGGGGCGCTGGCAGCCACGACCAGCTCTGCCATTTCCGGGATCAGATACCCCCCCACACAGCCAATACCCCAGTTTGAGTGAAACACGGGAGAGGGCCAAGGGGGTGTGAATTCTGATAAGGCAGGTATCGGATTCTAAAGGGCCTTGAATGCCAAGCTAAGGAGTTAAGACCAGTCTTTGTCTTCTTGCAAAAACACAATAAACCAACCCCCCCCCCACTATTTCTGATCAGGTTACAGTGGGCTGAAAGAAATATTGTTGCAATGTTGAGAAGCCACCAACTCCCTGCCCTTCAAGCAGCAGGCCTGGGCCTGGGCTCCAGCAGCCAGTCCTCAGCACAGCCTCCGCAGGGACCCTCCTGCCTCCATCCTTTTCATCATCAATCTTAGTGCTGGCACGCCCCCGAGCCCATGGGCCAACAGGCATGCAAAGCCTTGGAGGGGACGCTGGTCCTTCTGTCTCATGGCTGCATGGGGAAGCTGCACCTCAGCCCCCAGCCTCACCCCTCCTGGCACCTCTGGCCCTCCGCACCCCCCACCCAGGTTAGGTGGCAGCTCCTGCCTCTCTCGGGGCTGCCTGCCCCTGGCTTGGTGGCAGAGCCAGTCAAGTAACTGCCCTCATTTTCAGACCCGACAGGGAGGAGAGGAGCAGGGAGTTTTTGGGAGTGAAACACAAGCACAGTGGGAGGCAGGAGCACAGAACTCTGTTTGAGGGGTGTGGGGGCCCCTCACTCTCAGGTCCAGACCTGATGCCCGTGGGCCTGTCCCCAGAACAGGGCACGGAAGAAATCACTCTTCCTCCAGCTCCACGGGGTGGAGGATTCCAGAACCTTCTTGCTCTGCTCTTGCCCCCCAACTCCCTAACTCCAGGACACTAAGCTCATTCTCCCCATGGGGGGAATGGGGCCAATCCTACTTTGCTTCCCCTCTGTGGGCCTCTGGGTGGTGGAGAATGGGAAGCACTCAGCTACCAGAGGGGCACAACTCAAAGCCTCCTGGTGGCACCTTGGAGGAAAAGCCTGACAGTTTCCGGAAGCACCTGCCCAGCGAGTTCCCTGTGAAGCACAGTCCGCTCTGATACCAGGTGGCTGCACTGAGGTGGACTCCACTGAGAGCAGACGGTGTGCAAAATCCTCATGGAATCCACGGACTCATGGAAGCAGCAGCCAGGAGACCCAACAGCACGTTGCCCTGGGTAGACTGCACAAGCCAGGAGGCTGCTTTGAGGACTCAGGTGTGCCTTGACCCCAGCCCCGGTGCAGTCAATCGCCTCATAATCCATATGAAAGCTGGCCATCCCACTGGAGATCCCCTTGCAGAGGGGTCTCGGGGAGGAGA